TATGCTGAAGGGAACATTTCAGTGTTTTCATCAACAAGGACCTGTAACAGACCTATACATTGCCATCAAACTTGTTGCATTTGCAAATAAAGTTAAATCTGGTGATCCAGGCATCTATGTTAACTCAATTTACTAGGATCAAACTCAAAGTGTCTCCTGTCCAGTATCTGGTAGGGATCATTTGTGATGTTTCAATGTTAAAGCAGTTATATATATTGACTAAAGGTCCTTTTCACATGTAAACAATGTAGCACATTATGTTTTATGTACCAACATCCGAAGCTCACAAATGCCTCCTTATGTTTTTGAAGCAAAGAAATCTGACCCTTTTTGTGCCTGTGATAAAAGAAAATGCGTTTCAAAGTCATCTATGGTTATAAACACTTGTAGTGATTCTGTAAGAGTGCCCAATAACGCTAGGTTGTTTAATTGTAGATCAGGTGGTTTAAAGATATTCAGGCTGATAGTGATTCATCCTTTGATAACTGTTATGACTATTATATTGTACATAGTAGACCAATGAAGATCAGTTGGAATTGGTCTTCTGATATGTGACTAAGGAGATTGGGTTGCCGTGCTCACTGACTAAGTTGATGGTTGATATATGTCATCATATCCAAGTTACATAGATCGATGTGCATCATATCAACCACTGGATTGTCTGGTCCAGTCTTGATTATTTACAGACCGCTACCATCATACAGCTGGAATGTTTCTGAGTGTAGCATTAACTGGCAAGCAAAAATAAAACGTAACAGGAAGCAACCCTCACTCATTCATGCATTCATTATCATGTCATTATGAAACATATTCATGTATAGTCTTTGCTGCAGCGGGAACATACAGTTAGGTAGCTCAGCCTTGAGTGACAGCTTTACATGAACCATCTTGTCAAATGTATGATAGGGCATACAGAAAACGAAACATGCATAAAAGGTCATAGGGTATACTTGTCAGATAAGCGTGTAGGAGCATATAGTGTCATTTCTGGGAAATGATACTCTGGTGGTTAGTTGTCTCTGGAAAGATATTGGCTGGCCCTTGCGGATATATTTTTTAAATTTTGTCAGGCAATGCAATCACTTGTGCGCATTGTTTAAAAGGCCGGTATGTCGACTTTTCTGAAGCATTGGGCTAACAATAGTTTACCAACACTGAACTTATTCAAGTCCGCTCGCCTTACTCCATTCTGCTCCAGTGATCACACTGAAGGTGTAGGCTTATCACATGACAAGACTTTTCTCCTGTTTCTTAACAGCGACATTGACAACGATAGTGGAATCTATGTCGAAACGTCGCCTATATAGAATAAAGAAGTTGTATATCCATAAAAATAGTCCTCATTCTTCATCTACCCAACTTCTAGAATGCCAATCAAAGAAACCAACTTAGTCTTGCAAGCCTTTCTTTGATGTATATAGATAGACTACTGCATCTGTCAGAGTAACCTGCATGACAAGGTAGCTTGACACATTGATGTGACAGTATCACTAGCTGTCCATACAGCTTCAGTGAGCCATACAACTGGTGTAAGAAAGGGGGTAGTTACTTAAATAGAAATAGTTTTTCACATTTTAAGATATTTTCTCAATGATAGTTCAACATTTGTGAGTGAATGAGTTTAGTTTTACGCCACACTCAGCAATACTTCAGCTATATGGCAGCGGTCTGTAAATAATCGAGTCTTGACCAGACAATCCAGTGATCAACAACATGAGCATCAATCTACGCAATTGGGAACCAATGACATGTGTCAACCAAGACAGCGAGTCTGACCACCCAATCCCGTTAGTCGCCTCTTACAACAAGCATGGGTTACTGAAGGTTCATTCTAACTCGGACCTTCACAGGTTCAACGTTTTGTGGAATGGGTTTATCGACATGTGAAGACTTGTCACTTGGCTTGGCTACCAAACTGGGTAGGAGAGTATTCTACAGCATGACTGACTCCCTACAACTAATGCACGTATGTTGTAAATTAGACTTTGGTAAACACTAGCTCCTTATCCAGTCGAGCAAAGAATAAATATGTTTTAACTCTTCCTTTAGAGTGTTTTAACTCAATATTACTTTCCCAAACAACATAAAACTATTCCTGTTAACAAGTTGTATACGATCTTTTATGTTTAAAAAAATTACAAGTTGAGAAAGTGGTAGAAGTTATGAACTGAGATTCATACAATGGCCAGTCTATCAGTTGATACTCAGATGTAACCCTGTACAATGGATGTTTCTGGTGGTATGTTTGTGTGGGTGTACTGAGGGTAGGTGTGCTGCTAAACACCTGACTTCATTGTCTACTGTTGGTGAGAGACTGATGGGTTGAAACTGCACATGCTCTTCATTTAGGTTTTGCTTTAGACATTGTAGCATCATTTGTAAACCAACATATGTATGTAATATATACATGTAGTTTCTTTGGGTGGCATTTATAGAAGTTGGGAGAGTGAGATAAGGACAAACATTTATGGATGAACAACTTCTGTATTCATGTGATGTGACATTTCGATACAGATTTTTGTATCGTTGTCAAGCAGGTATGAGTCAGGTAGAAAACAGGGTTATGTATATGCAGTAAATAATTAGCAAAAACAACAAGAAGATAATTGAGAAGTAGAGGAACTGTGTGATGAGAAGGGATTACTCTTTTACTATCTAACCATATTTATGTCATGCCTTTATCGATGTGATTTTATGTGTATACGGAAATTTATTTATTTATTGTAATCTTAGTCTCTCATAACCCATTTTTGGGGTGGCTCACTTTTTATACTTTTATATTCTGTACCATATGTATTTTATGTAAAAATTAAGGTGAGACTTTAATAAATAATCTGTCTGTGTGTCTATCTGTGACACCCCCACCCACCCCCAACACACATTGACCCGCCCTTCCTCATTTTGAATGACCAGTCCCTAAAAAGGTTTTGATTTTAGTTAAAGCTCCTATACAGTATTCATATGCACTATGTTCAGAGTGTTATAGCATCACTTATAACAGTCATCACCGGTTGAAGATAGAAAGTATGCCAAACCTCACAGGCCTCCCTATGTTTCCTGCATGTGATTCTTTAGACAATTACAAACTGTTATCAGTGGGGAGATACCTGGCAGCAACTTATCAGTAGGTGCAATAGCTGCAGGCATGCAGGCTGACTGAGATATAGACCGTGCAACTTGTGATGTAATGTTGTTTAGATAGGCACTTTTGTTCTCTTATTAGGGCCAGTAGGTAAGTGATAGCTTCATCTTTTAGTAGTGACCTGAGGACTACTCCCTTGCATTGGGTGTTGCTAATCCTCTTTTCTGACTGGAGGGCTTGTCATGTAACACACACAGGACAGTCATTCCAGTGATTATTGCATGTGATAAGGAGAGACAGTTAATGCATGTGACAGTCTTGTGTTGCTAATGCCAGAGTTGTCAACCCACATATAACAGATAACACACATACAACCTATATATATGTAGATGTATATATCCCTGTGATGTGGTGGACATACGTTTATGCTGTACTGATGTAGATAAAGCACTGTCCACTACTGAGGGTACAACACTGGAAGAAGTGGGGGCGTGTTATCAGTGTATACAAGGACTTGTAACACACCCGCTGGCTGACAGTTAGGGACTGTTGGATTAAGGGTATTTAAGGTCAGTCAACATTACATTTACTTGTTCGCTCAGACAGTGTGACAGGTCAAGCAGGAAGTGTCATGGGCATAGTACTGATAGGCATACCACTGTCTTGACTTTTATTAATCAACTGACAGAAGAACAGTGAGCCTTCCTTTGGATGCTTTAGTTTAAAGATTTTTCAGTACATTGCAGATTTTCTTCCATATCTTATAGTTAACACTGAAGGTGAGTGTCAAGTGTCGCATGTGGCAAATTAGATTATATATTTGCTTTTCTGAGTTCATTTACTTACAGGCCACATGGTCAGATGTTCCATTGTCAATAGTACTATGGATTGCCTGTGGGGATTCATGATCTGAATAGATTTCCAACATCCCATACTTTTCATAAAAATGTTGGGTGTCAAAGTGCCCTACTTGTTCTGGACTGCTGCCTATGCTCATAAGCTGAGTGTTCTTGGCTACACTTTGGGATAAAACTTACTAGTACGTGCTACAATTTCTCACTTGTTTAGATGAGCGGAATATAAATAGTGTCCATGGATCATAGGTAGAGAGGTTTAATTAGTTTCAAATGATTTGGTGCTGATGATGTCGACAGATTAATGTATACTTGTGGTTACCGCCTTTTGCAGCAAACCTCAGGGGTGGAAATAACTTTAAAATTGATAGTGTACTCCGGTTCAGTGGCACATGTAAAGTCACTTGCCCAGATAATTTTTCCTCTATACCAACCGTTTTCTTGCTGATTTTTTAAATAAACAACATAATTACCATTGAAAAGTCAACTGGACACCGGTACAGTGTGATATACAAATTTGCTTGCCCGACAGAAAAAACACTGGACTCGGACGTCGGGCAATGGGTTATTTCCATCCCTGAACCTGATCCTGCAGATTGTATTGAAACAGATTGCTTTGTGCCTTCAAAACTTTACATCTATCTCTAAATAATACAGCATAAAAATGTTTCATTCAGTTAGATTTTAAAGAGATTTCATGCAGAAACAGTGGAAACCTAATGATTAATCTTTGAGATGTTTCAACTTGAATCAAGACACAGATTTCACCTTTTATTGGTGATTTCGTCACCCCTACTAGTTGTGATAATATCACAAGAAACACCGTCACAGGAAGCATGTTTGCAAATGTCTGTCATAAATGATGCATGTTGAGGTTGTAATATGAGATTCATTAATATTGAAAACTATATTGCTCACCTGTAGCATCTGGGTGATTATTCCTGTTGCATTTATGAAAAAGATATGTTATTACCACTGTGCTATCTGGGAAATAAACCCTTACATAATGTAACATAATTTGCAAAGTATTTTCAGCTCTTTTCAAGATGTTTAATTCATTGCAGCAAATAACTGCACACATCACCGACACAAACATCCAGTCAATATGGACATAGATGGTCTGAGATCCACCCTCAACAAGCACGGACAGGGGCACCTGCTCAAGTTCTGGGACGGGCTGAGTTCCGAGGACAAGGAGCACTTCTACAAGGAGCTCACCAGTATCGACTATGAGGAGGTCACCACCTTCTACAAGAATGCACAGGAGTTCCTGAACTCTGCTGCCCAGAAGATAGATGACCATCTTCAGCCCCTGTCCTCAGAGGTCTGTGGCAGTTCCTCCAAGACTGACCCAGAAACACTTCTCAGTTATGAGAAAAAGGTAATGCTTCTTTGTTGCATATCTACTATGTTACCTTTTTACGGAGAAGTTGTATGCAAGAGAAGATTCTCGTAATTACCATTCTTATAGCAGTGCATTGTTTCAGGTAAAAAAATTGCATTTTGAAGTTCTGATGTAGTTCCAGCTATTTAAAAGATAGCTAGTGGTTTTCTTTGTGTGTTTATCTTTCCTTTCATAAGTAAATAAGTACGCATTGATACATTTATGGTTAATTTTAAGTTGAAGAAGCATTTTCTTCTGACACACAATGTCTGGAAAATACTGGGTAACTTAATCAGGGACTGATCCGTTGGAACAAACCATTGATAACCAATATTTGTGTTATTCACTGATGAAACCTAGCTAACTCCCAACACTACTAATTACACAGGGCTGTTTCTATTCACTTGCATATTCAGTGAGTTGGACTGTCTTTTCATGAAATCAGTTCGTAATTTGTAATTACCAAAATTGAATATTCATGAATTTGTGTCAAAGGAGTGTTTTCACATGAATTTGGGAGTTATTTATAAAAGCAGGATATGCAAAATGGAATGCATCAAAGCCTGACATGATGACAGTCAGCACTATCATATATTTAATTTGACTGTATTGTGGTCACTATTATAATAAATTCGCACTGCCAGCATGGTCAAAACACATAAAAATAAATATTCACCTCATAGTGAAAATCATTTCAGCCCCCTATACATATAATAACATGAATGTGAACAACCCAAACCCAGTCAGTGTAAGAAGGGCTTCACTGAGGTTACATTGAACACACTTTGCAGTCACAGAACAATGTACAATAAATCAAGTTTGGTTTTTCTCAGTCTGAATACGTACTTCTAAATAGGTAATAAATAACAAATTCAGATCTTGCCCTTATGTGCATTAGACAGTTTCTCTTTCCATTTTAGATGGGTGGTACAATTACTATACATGAAAGTAGCATTATCCCTTATCACTCATTACTCTTTGACATCACAATCGTACTTGTATCACACTGAGTTTACTGCTTGCGTAATTTGTGTAGGCCACCTGATATGACATGCTGTCGCCTTCCTGGTTAACTGGCGCCACTTATGTTTGTCCTGATACAGTGGTGTGTAATTCTTATCTAGATTGTCTACCTGATAACATCTCGATTGTAGGTATAAGTACCATTACTTTTTGTGTTACATAACAACTGATTCATTTATGCCCTTCAACCTTCATATCAACTTCATGTGTTATCATGTAGATCATTAATATAGGACATGTGCAGAGAAAAACGTTGCACATAACTCACTGTATTTCACAACTGATCACATGGCTTAAATATTTTCAACAGCGTTAAAAATTATTCCCTGTATGCTGAAAGTTAAACATTTAGAGTTTCCTAGATTCAAATACAAAAGAGCCTATCTTCAGTACCCAAGGAAGCCTTGATTTACAATACAGTAGAACATAGCCAAGTATATATATATAATATATTGGGAAAATATTCAGATAGGTTTATTCAGATGGTCTTTATAACAGACCAGCTGTAAGACTACTAGTATATGAACACACAATTTGAAGAGCCTATATAGTTCCTGTTGGTTTCCTGTACTTTGCTTGACAGACAATACAGGTGTCATTTCATAACTATTTTCTATTTTGATTATATCTGTAAGCCTATAACACTGACTATAAGTAATGTAGACAGTCACACTGAGCAGTGAAAGGCCCAAGCAGCTGATACTGTTACATTCCTTAGACAAGTGATAAGATAGAAATAGCAAAGAGCTTTAGGGCAGAGGGATACCCAGGTCATTCATGACAAGAATGACAATAGGGGCTATGAAATAACCCAAGTACACACAGACAAAATATATTTAGCCTTTTGAATAAACTTGAGACTGCATTGGGATTTCTTTCCCTTATTTATGTTTGTTTTTTTAAAATGACATTCAGTCAAACCTTCAACCTAAACAAACAAAAATCACAGTTTGGTACTTTTCATGACCATCCCAGAGAATCAAATCCCTGAAGTTTCAGTGTAATCTGTAATCTGATACTGTTTGCCATGATACAGTTATCACACAAAATCATTATGATAAACTGAAAAAGAGTCCTTGTTATGTGATATGACACTATGGTGTTGAATAATGTATTTTGGTGAAAGAACATGAAACATATAGAGTGTCTCATGTCATTTGGTACATCATGTGAACATCTCTGTGAGATACAAGGGGACCGAATGAAAAGTTTTGAACCTTAGAGGATGCTGCTCCTTCCCTTGCCATTGTTAAGATATGAGTAGCTTTGAGGGGAAGCAAGCATCAAGATGCAAGATTATGAAGATACAATACATATATGACAATGGATTTGGCAGTGTAGATTTCACCTCTTCCCAGACGTGAAGGAAGAACTCTATGGCAAGCATGTCACTACTTACCAACAGAAGGAGGCTTTTATTTACATCGGTGTGGACCAAGAACTGCTGCTTCTTTGATAGCATTGTGTGGACCTCCAATCGGAGTATGATGAAAAATAATTACCACCAACTTCATCCTACTTAGGCAGTGACCTTTTCACCCACCCCATGTACATCATGTCACAGGTTATGGTTACACCATACCTCTGAAGTGTAATGAATCTGTATATTAACTCGCTGTGTAATTGGTGCACACGGGCGCACGCACGCATGACGCGACGCACGCCTCACGCCACGCGACGCACTCCACGCGACGCACTCCACGCGACGCACTCCACTTACCGGACGCACGCGCACACACACACACACACACACACACACACTATTATGGACTACATTGTTAAAATACAAATTGCCATAAGTTTGAGTGTATCACACAAAGTGTAATGTTCAATCAATCTTTAATGTTTAATGAGTCTCCATGTCTCCCTCAGGTCTGACTGCAGTGAGTGAGAACAAGGTGGCAGTGTTGCTGCTTGCTGGAGGCCAAGGGACCAGACTGGGGGTACCCTACCCCAAGGGCATGTACAATGTGGGGCTGCCCTCCAAGAAGACCCTTTATCAAATTCAGGCTGAGCGTATTTTGAGTGTTCAGAACCTAGGCAAGAAACAGTCAGGCAATTCAGGAGTTATACCATGGTGAGCATATTGTATTTTACACACATACAGTTCAGGGCCTCATTCCACAATACGATCTTAGTGCTAAGGTGCTCCTAAGTCTCATACTTTAACATAGGATTACAATCATTGTAGCACTAAGATTGCGTTGAACTTATGGAACAGGGCACTGAAAAACATGTTAAGTACACTTTTGTTAAAGAAAGATGTGACACAAGATACTATGAGACCTAAGGCATTGTATTTGATTCGGATTCAAAGGTGAGGTAATATAATGCTAAATTATGGCTGTGCTTTGTTAATGCATGGAAATGGTATGTATCAGACATCTTTATTTAAAAAAATAGGTACACTGATAAATCAAGTCTCTGACATTTGCAGTACCGAGAAGGCATACATGGCTTCTAGCTACTGGTCTACTCAATGAACAAACTACATGTTCTATATGTAGCTAATTTATGACTTCATTTTGGTAGTCACTATTATTACAAGTCTTTGTCTTGCATGGGAAGATTCTCTGCAAAAAGGAGGCGGTGGGGTAGCCTAGTGGGTAAAGCGTTTGCTCATCACGGCGAGGGCCCGGGTTAAATGGTAAAAGCGGTGTAAAATCAAACTCACTCACTCACTCTCTGCAAAAAGTTGCTATTTCAGAACAGAATCAAAGTAAAATGACGAAATAATCATGTGCCCACAATGTGAATATGCAGGTAACAGCTGTATTTATCAATTTCTATGATACCTTCAGGTACATTATGACCAGTGAACACACAATGGAGCCCACACGAGAGTTCTTTGCTAAGAACAACTACTTTGGTCTACAGAAGGACGATGTTGTCCTGTTTGAGCAGAGTTTGCTCCCTTGCTTCAGCTTTGATGGAGAGATTATTTTACAGAGTCCCTCCAAACTTGCCCTTGCTCCAGGTAAGATCTAGCTCTTCTTCCAAATAGCCCTTGCTCCAAGAGAGATCAAGCTCTTCTTCAAAGAGCTTCCACTTGTATTTTGACTATCAATCTCATAAAAATGAGATTTTTCACTCTGATATGACTGGCAGGGCATTTATTGTTTACATTTGGGACAGACCAATGAAGTTTGTGTTCTGGATACTGAAGTGAAAGTTGTTGTTCACTTGTACCAAGAATTAAGAAGCCTCAAAACTGATTGGCTGATCAGAATATTCAACAAATGCAACATCCTATGGATGAGTCCTCAAGTCTTCACAGAAGGAGATACTGTGTCAAGTTAATTATCAAATTTAGTTTGAGCTTCCTTTGACTCAGTATTGACATGTGCATTGCTTAAATGAAGATTGTTGTTATTGATGTGATGAATATACCAATAACATGTTTTGTTGCCATATGACACTAACATTATTTATTTATTGATTCTCATAGTGCTGTAGGTAGAATAGTTGTAAAAAATTATTGTTGCCAGACTGAAGAGCCAGTGTTCATTCACATAAACGTACAGTAAGTCATTCATGCCATCCTCCATCTTCTCTGATAATCCTTGAATGTTGACCAACTCATTAGCGACTTTCACTCTTCAGTTGTGAAGGAGATTTTGTTTCTATTTCACAGTCTGAAATGATGGAATAATCTCCTATTATTGAGGCTCGACTTCAGCATAACAACTTTCCAAGTGGCGTGTCATTTAAAACTATGGTTTCTTTGTTACAGATGGTAATGGAGGCTTGTACCGCGCCCTACGTCGAAGCAAGGTCCTTGATGACATGGAGAAGCGTGGCATTGAGTACATACATGTCTACTGTGTAGACAACATTCTTGTCAAAATGGCTGACCCCATCTTCATGGGGTTCTGCATCTCAAAGGGAGCTAACTGTGCTGCAAAGGTGTGATATATTTGCCAGGATGTTGCTATTCATGTTCAACAATTAAGCTATAGATATTAGAACTGTAAGTACTGAATGGGCTGTTCACTTGAACACTTGAAACTTACATAGTGATATATGATAGCATGGCAGGCAAGATTTGCTGGAAAGTATGATATGAGTAAGCATCATGAAGTAAATCATCAAGCTTTGAACACTTGTCTTGTGTGTGATTTAGTGCTTGATCCTGTGTTGCAGGTCGTAGAGAAGGCATTCCCGACGGAGGCTGTGGGGGTGGTGTGTAAAGTGGATGGTGTGTACCAGGTGGTGGAGTACAGTGAAATCACACAGGCCACTGCTGAGAAGAGAAACGAAGATGGCAAACTGGCCTTTAATGCTGGCAATATCTGCAATCATTTCTTCACAATCGACTTCCTGAAACATGCATCTGAGTAAGTTGGTTCCATGGAAATAAACAACAGAGAAATATGTGCACTCAAGAACATACACATTTATGTTGACACATAAGGAATTATTTTCCAACTGAAGAGGTAAAGAAAAAATAGAGCGTGATGTATATAATGGCAATGCATAAATGTCTTGCAATGGGGGACTTTAAGTATTAATGATAGCAGTTTGGAAAGAAGGCAAAAAATACAACATTCTTATGTACAAACATACAGGTTATCACGCGAGGGTGTTGTGGGATGGTTAATATCCTGCATTAGGAATAAACATTGTATTTAGCGAGTCTTGGCTTTAATGTACGGTACGAAACCTGGATTCCGCTAACACTGACAGTCTGTCAGGGAACTTGTGTTGGTATCTCCATCAGCCTATGAACTTCTATCTTCGCTCCGTAATTCACTCTATCCATCATTACCAGAAATGAATTTTCTTGGATCAAAGGACTGACAGTATCGTAACCATGGCCGTCAATCCGGACATGATCACCAATAGATGGGCGTGACGCCATGTTTGTTTACATAGTGAAAGTAGTCCCTAAAATTTGCATATGACCTCTCTAATTTGCATTGATATCCATATATGACCCCAACAGATACTGAAAATATCAGTTGACTTTATCCTGCCGAGAAGGTTATCCATTGTCAACTCTTGCTTGACAACGGTATAAGAATCCATACCGAAGTGTCGCATCATATATAATAAAGAAGTTGTTATACATAAAGAATCTTACTTTCTTATTACATCTTACCTGCTTGGTTTTGATGATGTTGTAAACAAAAGTCAGAGGAAGCAATGAAAGATTTACTCACAAACTGCAATTGTGTGACAGTGGCCCCCAGGAGAGTCAACTGAAGCACCACGTGGCAAAGAAGAAGATCCAGTATGTGGACAGTGACTGCAAGGTCCAGAAGCCAACCACATCAAACGGCATCAAGATGGAGAAGTTTGTCTTTGATGTCTTTCAGTTTGCCACGTAAGTTGTGATCTGGGGCAAAGTCTTCGATATTTTCAGGATTTTATCGAATTTTATGAAAAGAGGTCATTTCCTGATGCTGCCAACGGTGACGTTGTACAAAGCCATCTTAGTCCTAAAGCGATTGTTACTCCCTTACTTGAACAGAGACTTACAACAGTCATAGTGCTAAGGTTGTTTTGTAAAATGGGGCACACACTTAATGATCCTTGGCCAGTCACTGCTCATTTAGTGCTAATGGTTGGTTTGTTGTTTAACACGGCACTCAGTAATATTCCAGCTATGTGGCGGCGGTCTGTAAATAATTGAGACCAGACAATCAAGTGATCAACAGCATGAGCATCTATCTACACGATTAAGATATGATGACATTCGTCAACAAAGTCAGTGAGCCCGACCTACAGATCCCGTTAGTCTATTGCTAATGGGTTTCAGCAAGTTGTAAATGTCTACTGGCATCATATTAGGGCTTTCCTCCATTGTTAGTTGACTGACAAATGATACCTGAAATATTGTTTCTGTCAGAGGAAAATGCCAAGTTACCAAGCCATGAGTTAGAAAACATGTTGTTAATGCTACTGTGGAGGATGTGTTGCCTGATTATGGAGGAGAGGAAGCCTGCTGCTGGTGTTGGGACTAGGGCTAGTAATACATCATCTACATGGGGCGACCATGAATAGTTCATATAGCTTGTCACTGCTATTCATTACATCAAGGCCATATAGTAAACTCCTCAGTGCTAATTCAAGGTATAGACACCAATAGGTCTTGAGAGTATACTAATTACCTATTACCTGTCTAAAACAATCTGTTGATAATGCTGGCACCAGTTACAGGCATATTTCCTTTTGTGTAATTGTTCTGGTGTACTTGATTTACTCCATTTAGAAAAATCTGTAATTATCGTTTATGCACTTGGTGTCATCTGTAGTAATAATCATGTTACTGTCATGGATATTGCCCTTATGTAAAGTTATCCCAGGTCGACATACGTCCCCAGTACATAATGCTTGTCAGAAAATACAGCTTTCATTGGGGGCCTTTTTCTCATCACAATTGTGTCTAGTAGTGAAGATCTAATAAGACCAGTAGATTGTTCCTCTGGACCACTGACAAATTCTGGTCAGGGTCGTTGCCCTGATTACCATGCAGAAAGTGTACAGAGACCATATCATCTATTCATGGTAACTATGGTAACAGCATGCATGTACCTCATTTCATATCAATATTTGATGTATTACCCGGTGTTGGAGTGGGCAGTGTATTGCCTTGTATGTACATATAAGCTTCTACTTACACCATTATATGCCCAAACATATAGCTATCTTTTCTTTCAGCTAGGTTAATGATCTAACAGTGTGGTTGTACTTGAAACTCGTAGATTGAAGTTAGTGTTGACTTACTTGGTCTCTCTAGACTTAACAGTCATTTATATAGACAGGCATATTAACAATTAACTGTTTCATCGTCTGTGCAAAAGAAAGATATCAGTTAAAGAACATTAGAACATTGATTCACATAGTACTATGTATTAAAACAAGGATATGAAAATATTGCTGTGCACTTTACCAAATAATACATGTGTTTTGCAATCTTGCAGTGAACTGAAACATCATTCATGCATTGAAGATCTGTGCAACATTTCAAACTACGTAGTTGTATATTCCTGTTCGTGTGAGGGTGATGCTGAAGGAGTAGGGAGGATAGGCATCTTCAGAAATACTTTGAAATTTCTGTTAGAAAGTGAATATCAAAGTGGAGTTTTTCTATAAACCCCATATATCATACTATGTAGAGGAAAAACACAAGTCTTCTACATGAAAGAGTACTGAAGGAAATTGATCCTTAGTATGTACATGTGTCTATGATTTCACTCACACAACAGATGAAATTACACTGATGATAGTGTTACAAGAAATATGCTCAATGAAATATGCTTAATTTTTGGCTATATGTGTTTCATTTCCTGGGAATAATCACCAGAAAATGAATTTTTGCATGTAGTATTGTTGGTGTATGATGTGCAAAATACAGGCTATATTATGAACATGACATGAAATATATGATTAACTTCTCTGCATTATCATGACTGAGAGACAGGAGTCCTTGTTATTAGAAAGGTTTGGGATGTGAGGTTCAGTTCAACATCAGATTCCGCAACAGTGCAAGATCATATTTGTACTACGTTTGATATAAATGTTTGATTCCCAAAATTTGGCATGTTTTTCCACACTGAGTTTTCCACAAAGACTATTGGTAAGAAGATTTGACATCAGTCGGATAAGAGCGGGAACAAAGTTCCTAAATATATCATTAAACTTTCTAGGTATAAAGCTGAAAAGAATTGGGAATAGTGCTGGGATCAACCTATCACTGTATTGAGAATGTGAAAACTCAACACAGCAATTCATTATTGTGTAATGACAAAATTCAACTTTGTGGTCAAAGAATATTTTAAAGAAATTTTTTGTTTAACATACATTATTTGGCAGCAAAAGATTTTGCCCCGAGAATGGAGATCATAGAAAACAATCAGGTCTTGCACCACAACCACCATGAATTAGTCTGAATCATCCATCTCATCATTAAATTAACTCTAATTTAAAATCATGGCTCCTTGATTCTAGTATTGCTGCAATATTTCCTTCTTCCAATGTTAATATCTCTCGCCAATGTACTGCAGAGTAGTTGCTCAACTTTTACTGTATAATGCTGTGCAACTAACGTGGGTTTCCCTTTTCTTTTTGGTTGGTGTCTGTGTGCTCTGCTTACTCGCTCTTACGCTTCCTCATGCCCTTCCAATGCTTGCTGGGTCGCCGGTGACATGGCTTGTCTCCTCCCCTTCCCACCATGTGTTACCACATGTGCTGGTTTTGTCCGTTGTGTGGTGTAAATGTGACAGAAACTTTGCTGTGTGGGATGTGCTGAGAGAGGATGAGTTCTCTCCCCTGAAGAACGCTGACAGTGAAGATGCTAAGGTTAAAGTGAAGGACACTCCTAGCACTTGTCGCCAGGCTCTGAACAACCTCCATCAACGATACATTGTTAAGGCTGGAGGCAAGTTCGTGGACAGCGAAGGATCTGCCATTCAAACTCAGACAAGGTAGTAGAATAGTCCATGATCTGTTTCTTCAGTTTTTAATCATGAACTAATTATTGCTGCCAAAACAAAATTTTGAAACAAATATTATAATCTTGTTAACTAAAACATAAGAAAGTTTAGATTTAGAACAAGGAAAATAGATTTATGTTTCTTTGAAATGTATGACCTTGCATCTTATACAGCCGGAACAAACTAAGTAGGTCAAAGTTGATTCTGGTATTTATAGTTTATCATATATTGTGGCATGCAATGTTGTGATGCCCTCCATGATCACCACAGCCGTTACTACGACCATTGTTGGCAGTGACAACACTGCTGACCGGTGTTCACTGGTGTGCTGGCTTGATCGTCCAGTGTCCTGGATGTCATTGTCGAGAACTGTTCTCCATAGCTTCTTGTGTCTCCATTATTTTGGGTTGAAAGTGTTTGTGGTCGGTATGTTCCTTGGATTGGCACCTATCCTGAGATTTGGTGGTGAACCAGCCTACCCTTGAATGGCAACTTTTCAAGAACCACCACACTGCATTTTATAATGCAGTTCTTGGTGTCCTGCCACCTGGATCCAACAGTTAGCGGAGACGACACCATTCTTGAATGGGTTCTATGGAGTATTGTTACAGGCAGAACCATTCTAATTCCTGGTACTACTAACCAGTTTGCTATGACTATTAGAACCAGTCAACACAGATTCAGACACCCTTTGAGCATTGTTGCCATTGGTCTATTGCCAATATCATGGCTCAGAACAGTAGGCTGTTGATGTGCACTCTTTCAAAACATATTCTGTTTTATATATCTTCATGCTATTGACCTAAGTGTTTTTTGCATACTCAAAATTAACCTATTTTCTGTCCATTTTCAGTGGCATTCAAAATGGAAACGAGAGGTAAGACATTGCCAACATTGCATTTATATAATATCAACTTCAATTATTTATGTTGGTTTTGTTAAATTTTAGTCTTTCCAGTAAATATCTTTTAATAGTTAGACAGTTACAGTTTAATGTATTTTTCACTAGTATACTCTGTCACAAGTACTATGCATTCAAAACCTTGATTAAATTCAGTGGTGTTCACTAGTAATGATTTTCACTTGAAGGAAATAATAGTTTTTCGTGAAGTTGCAAATGAATATAATATGATGTATGTTTTAATTTCAGTTGCCAATCAGTCGTGTGTGAGATCTCACCATTAGTGTCTTTTGCTGGAGAGGTGAGTTCAAGTCATCAGAATGTTAGGTCCAAGTATAGTGATTCCACTGTAAAGGGGGTGTGAAGTAGCCTCGTCCTGCTTGTAAGATCTGAGCAAAATTGGATAGAATATAGCTACCTAGCCCTGTACCCCATGCATATATATCAAATGTGATACCTTGCCCTGTACCCCCTGCATGTATATCAATTATGATACCTAGCCCAGTACCCCATGCATGTATATCAATTGTGATACCTTGCCCTGTACCCATTGCACGTATATCAATTGTGATACCTTGCCCTGTACCACTTGCACGTATATCAACTGTGATACCTTGCCCTGTACCCATTGCATGTATATCAAATGTGATACCTTGCCCTGTACCCCATGCATGTATATCAAATGTGATACCTTGCCCAGTACCCCATGCATGTATATCAATTGTGATACCTTGCCCTGTACCCCCTTCATGTATGTCAATTATGATACCTAGCCCAGTACCCCATGCATGTATATCAATTGTGATACCTTGCCCTGTACCCATTGCATGTATATCAAATGTGATACCTTGCCCTGTACTCCATGCATGTATATCAAATGTGATACCTTGCCCTGTACCCCTTGCATGTATGTCAATTATGATACCTAGCCCTGTACCCCATGCATGTATGTCAATTATGATACCTAGCCCTGTACCCCATGCATGTATATCAATTGTGATACCTTGCCCTGTACCCATTGCATGTATATCAAATGTGATACCTTGTCCTGTACCCCATGCATGTATGTCAATTATGATACCTAGCCATGTACCCATTGCATGTATGTCAATTGTGATACCTTGCCCTGTACTCATTGCATGTATATCAAATGTGATACCTTGCCCTGTACCCATTGCATGTATGTCAATTATGATACCTAGCCCTGTACCCCATGCATGTATATCAGATGTGATACCTAGCCCTGTACCCCTTGCATGTATATCAAATGTGATACCTTGCCCTGTACCCATTGCATGTATGTCAATTATGATACCTAGCCCTGTACCCCATGCATGTATATCAGATGTGATACCTAGCCCTGTACCCCATGCATGTATCATGATGTACCCTCCATGCCGCTCGATTTTAAGGGTATAGAGCAGTGAATATCCTTGTTAAGCTGCTGCACGGTATCCCTGTTGACTATCACTTTATGAACATCTTGCTGACTAGTACAAGCCATCACACACATAAATCTGCTATAGCAGTGAAATAATCTTGAATGTCACATTAAAACCCCTTTCATCTTCCCTCCCACTCCCCTGCAAAGAGTTAAGTATTCTTTATGTATCATAGTGCAATATTCACCCTCACTTAAGACATGTTATTTTCAGGGCTTGGAGGAGCATGTGTCAGGCAAGGTGTTAGTGTCTCCAGTTACCCTTGAAGTAACACCAGAAAATGGCAAACCTCTGCTGCAACAGGGATCTGCAAAATAATGCTGACTACTTCTTAGACCAACCTTACCACCAGCTGAACGCCTGTGTGGTTGAAGTAACAACAGCTTTCATTATGTATGCCTTGACAACATATTTTATGTATGACATCAATACCTTGATGACATAACCCTATGTGCCATTATGAAATCATTAATAGTTGCCTGGCAATAAGTACTTTGTGTGTTGTGATATGACCAGTTGTCATGGTAACAGGCATTATGACCCTTTGTCACGGTAAATCCATCGTGTTTGACAACAGCTGCCTTACTGACCGCCATAAAGCACAACACAATGGGAACAAATCATCAGAAACATCTTCACGCTTGGCGGTGTTGGCGTCACTCCCATCAGCATGACGTGTAGATCATGGCAGCTCGACTCATTGTCATCATCATCATCATCATCGGCATCGTTGCTTGGCTTTGTTGTACACCATATACTCAAGAGGAACTTATTTATAGATTTTATTGTCATATATCTCTATACCATTGCCACATTGTTACCACCACACCTCAAATGCAGCTTAGTCCATATTGACTCACAAAGGGCTTGCCAGAAATTGGAATCTAAAAATATATTGTTTGTACAAAAGTAAAGCTGTATTGTTGACTTGTCTGTTTAAGATTTTAATGGTGTTATTGATACCATTCGTGATAATACGGAAGTGGTTCAGTGATAGTTGTACAGTAGAACATGGTTATTACAAACACAAATACATGCATAGCACACTACTACTGCAAACTATTTCACCATTTATTTGATATATATGTTATCATATATAATTATGGTTGCAAATTATGTATAACAAAGGACAGTAATTGCAAACTGACCTGAGAATACGTATTCTTTATGAACTTGTAAGAACTTGTCCAACTAAATCAGTGTCTTCCATCATCAGAGGAAGCATGCAGTACACTTGTAGATACCAGATATAACCACCAGGTCGAGAACATTTTGAAGTTAACAGGTCATTTAAGACTCTTTAAAATACATTGTGTATATTCAAAACGGATTATTGGTGTGTATATCAATACTGGGGCATCCCAAATGGGGAACAAGGTTTTCCAGATCAGGAACTGCAGCTGTAACAAACTTCAACCATACCTTGGACCATGTCACGACCATGTTTTACTGTACAAGTATGTATATTCTGTTAACTATTACTTGTGAATGATTGTCATTGTACATAATGTACCCGTTGTAGCCAAGGGTGTATAGTGTGTACATATATCTATGTTATATAACACATGTCTCAACATAGCCTACCCACGGAATGGACAGTTTTACAACAGTTTACTTTGAGGGCTGGTGCAAGGTTATACAGAGATACAACAATCATTTGTGAAGGTGTACAGGTTACATTTATAAAAACTTTTGACTAGGTCACAGCATGGATGAAACAGGTTTTCATTGTGTCTTATATTTTAGAGAGAATAAAATATTTTGTTATAATTATAGGGCCCAAATTAGGGTACAGAAACAACCTCAGGATACTATGTGTAAGTAATAGTGGTGGTCCGATTAATTAAAATAATCGAAGATTGGTGGCAGTGACTAAATGACCAAACAATCGATCATGTTTTCTCATAATCGAACACAAACAATTCTGGTACACTTGTTTGCATTAACGATATTTTTCACAGGGTTGGTTTTGTCTGTTACATTTCATGACCACTACAAGTTCGTTCCAAGTCATGATTGATTTATCTTAAAGACTCCAACAAATTAATGTTCCTAAGCTACTAGTCATCCTTTAAAGATGTGAAATTTGCAATTGCATTTTGTGCAATTTGCAAAAACACAAACCAAAGAACTAAATGTTTTTTTCTTTATTATTATTTTTTGTCCATTAAAAAAAAATAATCAGGAAAATTTCATAAATGACGCTAACCAATTATTTTCGATGATTGATCGGTTGTAATGAACCAATCATCAATTATGAGATTTTAACCAATTCCCAGCACTAGTAAGTAATGATAGATTGTGATTGTCTATAGTTTCAGATATATCGTTAGAGAGGGCTGTGAAAGGGCATTTTGGCAAAAAAAAATTATATGTGTCTGAAAGATTTTTTAATAGTACGTGCTAAGTGGGTATGAGAATTTGAGAAACACCATGTAAAACAGTATTTTTGTGACATAAGGTCAACTAAGGGACACCACTCTAATCCTGTTCTGCAGTGTAAGGACAAACCACATGGTAAAATCTCACTCATTGACATTTGTTGTTGATGTGATGCATTTTGTGTACTTAACTCAGTATATGCAGATACCAATATGTTTCGTAAATATTAGGTTTCCTTATGTTAATCAGTTTATTATACCAATGTACTAGGGAAAGAAAAGGTTACTTTTTCTCATTTTCAGTTTGTTATATTCTGCGTCAATTAAAGCTGATAACACCAATATATCTGATGTTGGACAAAGCATGATCACTTTGTGTAGTGTTTCAGCCTTTAGGGCCTTATATGACATAGTATTACAGTGACAATATGGACCTTGCAAGCAGATGGGTGTGGCCATTTTACTGTGAAATCTCTATGCAAGTTGTGTTTTGTGAGTCATATTTCTAAATTATTATTCTAGTTAGAGACACTGTAAAATTAACCTTTTGTTATTGTTTCTCATGGCATGTTTTTCTTTTCTTTTAACAATTGTTTGTTGCTGATTATTTTAGTTCAATGAATCATAACACACATATTTATTTTATACATGTTATGCAAGTATAACCATTGTTACAGTGTAAGTGTTAACAGTATTAAAGACCAAATCACGACCAGTATCAGTGTTCATTTCAGAAACTAGTGAAAGAGCGGCCTGTGACCTCATCCTGTGTAAGGATCAAAGGCATTTGTTGAAAGCACAGGACACGAACATCTATTAAATAAAGATATAACCCTAAGAGAATGTTAGCATTTATTGCTGTCCATCGATTAATGTATTCCAATGTCTAAATTGTGTTTAATTCTGACAAAGATGGATGAACTAAAGTAAATAGCCAAAGGTGAGATTGAAAATGTATTTTAGGTATCAGATATTATTTTGTGCTGTCAATGGTTCTGATATTAGTTTTGCGCCATTAAGGAATTTTCATGTGTGAAGGTCCCCAGGCCACTTTCTGCAATGAACACTTCAGTATCATGACTGATATCAACTCGGGTGTTACTACGTTGAAGATCTACAGAAACTGAAAATTTGTTTTTAAAATATACTTAGTTTTTAAATAGCATTGTGTTTACTACCCAAACTATGCACTTTGTAATGTAAGAGTAGCATATAATGTTTTTGTATTATATTTGTAATCTTCATTGGACATACATTTATCATCCAAACTTAGCAAATTCAGTTTTTCTGGTCTCACTAGCTTCTGCCAAAAAAACACTTGAGTGGATATCTGTAAGGAACTGGACAAATGTATCTGTATATTGATGATAAAGTATTGATTTGATATTACCTACTGCTGAAACTTTAACCCAGTGGTAACTCAGTGTTAGTATCTTCTGTTTCATACATACTGATACTCTGGTCTTGTGCGTGTGGGAGGTGACTTCTTGGAGTTTCTTCTTTTTCGTTGGTTCCTGCAGACAATGTAATTGTGGCTCTGATGTATTTTGAAGTCATTAGTGAACCCTGTGAATAAATGATGTTGAATGTTGACAGTGAATGAAACCTGTGTATTGCTACATCTTCAGTTGATGTATGAGTATTGACTAGTGGGGACATGATGTTGGGATATTGACTGTGGTTGTATGTGGCAGTTTTCCGAAGTGAATAAATCTCTACCCAAATTTTAATGTCATGCTGAAGATGGATATGTTTTTTTCAATATTTATAAGATTTTCACTTTTAACTTATTCCTTTTCTTTGATATGTTATTTATGAAAATCATGACAATCATTTTATCATCAATGTCATCGTTGAAGAACGTAAAATCAGTGTACTCTGAACACCATGCTCCTAATTCTGACATGGTATTTCCAGAAAGTGATATCATTTTTACACCATTGGACTGACTTTCATTTACACCACAATAAAACTGTTTGACTCTCCAGTGTAACATTGTACACAGTGCATTTTTGGTTTTCCGTATGATAAAGTGGGCTCCCATGTGATTCTGTTATTGGAATCAGCTGTTGGTTAGAATTTATGCATGCCTACTATCCCCGTGATGACTTGTTTCTGAGTGTCAGGGATTGTATTGTGGCTTATTCTCATACTGTAAATCTAGAAAGTTTTGATTGTGAAATTAAGTGGCTAACAGTACCTATATTTGCAACAGCTAGCCGATGTGTTTACCAAAGATCAAAGGTACTTTTGCACATATTCTTGTGTATGGGTGAGAAGCAGTGTGATGAATAGTTACCTCAGTGTAATGTTTGGTTGGGTATAGATACATGTGCTGATGTAGTTGACGTGAAGAATGGGGAAGCATCTTTATCTAACAGTAGTTTTGGGGGCGGGATCATGTCTGGACTGCTCAGTTTTATGTAAGCAGCTTGATGAGATGAGGAAGTGACCTATCCTGATCAGCCTGGACATTGAGTGTCCATTGTTGAGACCGGTTGTAAAGGATCATGTGTTTAGTCATGTAATGCCTGCTTTGACAGTGTGTGGAAGTGACTTTAAGGAATATCCCTCCTTTCATATTTTGTCCTTAGTAACTGCATCATGAAACAGTTTCAAGAGTTTTTTGGGGCTGTACTTTCCAGATTACACAACTTTCATGATTTACAGGAATCAAATGTTTGGTTTAAGACTGACGTCAAAACGTAACACTTATCTCATTCTGTTCAGTATGTTGGTTTGTTACATTTTGCATATTTATTCATTCTGCATGTTTATTTATGAATATACACAAATATTCCCAATGTTGAAACAAGAAACATTCTCAAAGTCCAACTACCCACAAGACAATTCCTTATGTCACCAGTGGGAAGTGGCAGGAATACAGAGTATTTCTATTCCTAACAAAGGGATAAATGGTCTTTTTTCAACCAGTTTCAAGCACAATCGAAGTCAAGTCTGTCTGTTGAGTAGATTTGCCTTGGTGTTAAGGTATTGAAGAATTTCAGGAAATTCAAGCATTCCAATCATCCTCAATTTTCTAAAATGTTTGTTAACAAGTCAGTACCATATGAACACTTTATGGTGTTTAAACTTTTTTTTCTACTTTCTCTGTGGGCAAATTTCTTCCACATAAACAGCAGGAAAGCAATAAGAAGTGTACAAGCAGAGAAACAAGCAGTTCTGCAATGAAAACCTTTTCAGATTGTGATACAATATATACAGGGGTTACCTCACTTGCTATGCTTCAATAATCAGACTTAAGGCTGATGCAGATTTTTCTTATGCACTGCCCTAAACGAAAAAAGAAATAGTTTTTTAAGACTAAAAGTAATCATGGTAGCACAGTTTCTGACACTGGATCTTGCCAGACAACTCATTGATTTACATTGCTATATGAACATTTATTCATATAACCCTGTTATTCACTGATTTTCTTTGTTGATTAGAAGAATTTATGGTATTTCGAAATAGAAAGTAAGTTTACAGTATTCATGTATAGAATGGTGAAGAGTATTCGTAGTAGCA